GAGGCGGCGGCGGCGGCAGCAGCAGCAGCGGGTTTCCTCTGGCATCTTCGCTCAGGTTTCCCCGGCGGCCGAGCGCCCGGCGGGCTCGCTCCTGCGCGGCCTCATTCTGGAGCGCTGAGTCCGCGCCTGGGGATCGCTGTGGAGACGCGCCGCTCGAGCCGCTTCGTTGGACCGGCCCGGAGGTTTGGAGCGCCGGGAGCGCCGCGCCTTCTGCTTCTTGGAAGGGGCGGAGGAAGCGACGTCGGCCGCCCAGCGTTGCACGTTGCTTCTGCGAGCCTCCCTTTCGGATGCGGTGAGTGGCGGGATTGGGCTGGCAAGAGAAAGAAGCCCCTTCCCCAAAGTGGGGAGGGGAGAAGTGGCGGGGTCTGGCCTGGCCTGGGGGACGCTGGGGCGAAGGGGAGGTTTGTATGGGATGTTTCCACCTCGTAGCGTCCCCGCATGTGGCTCAAGGACCGCTTCTTTCCACGCGTGACATGGGAGGCAGGTTCCTGCGAGTGCCGCGGACGAGTCGGCCGGCTAGATCGTGGTAACATCTTCAGTCTAAGCTGTTCTTAAGGCGCTAGTCCTCAGGCGCCCGGTTAGCTGCCGGCGAGTCCCACTGAGTTTTGGAGGGCCCTTACTTTTGGGTGGACATGCCCCGTCGGACTGCACGGTGGACAGGAAAAAATGGACGTGCGGGGAGCAAGGCTGTGATCCCATGAGATGAGATCTCTTGCAAATAAACTCAGCAAAACTTCCTTTCCGTAAATACAGGCTGATTATGACTGTATCAGATGGGTGTTTACTCGGGAGCAAGGGGTAATGCCGTTTACGAGGAGTAGGTCGTCGTGGTGGGGTCGCGGCTGGGCGGGACGTGGAAGCGGGAAGTCGCGCCGTCCGCCGTGAGACTTACTCCTCGCCGAGGGTGGTGAAGGCGGGATCCTGTGGCATCTTGAAGACCTGCAGATATAATAATGGGTCCCTATGCATGTCTTCTTGGAAGTAAGTTGTATTAAATGCAGTGGGCGAGAGGTAGATAGGGGACCGTGCCCGGTTGTGCGGTGAATGTTGTTGCTTACAGCTCACAAGTCTGTGCCACGATGGTTTTTAAAAGGGGGGCGCGTGGGAGTAGCGCACACTCATGTTAATCTTTGAAGCAGCACCGGATCTCGTGTATATGGCCCCTGGCCTGAACCGCATGGGAATTGTTCCGAGTTAAGAAGTTACGTGGTCCACCTGCTTCCAACCTGCTATTCCGCGCCGCGCTCTTCCGGGAAAGCAACCCCCTGCGAGGTCAGTTGTCTGCGTTCACACGACACGCTTAACCCGATCCGTTACAAGCCGTGCGGCTTCGTTCGGGTTCCATGAGAAACTCGGTTCGTTTCCCCCTTGGGTGCTTTTCTGCGGCTTAAGGGTGTTGCGTGAACCACCCAGGTAATGGGTTTGTGTTTCAGGGTCTGGTGCAAAGCCAGGAGACGGGTTAACGCAGCCCCTGGGGGAGCCGTGTTTGCGGGAAGGCCGTCAAGGCCTGTGCTGGATCGAGTTGCAACCAGCGTGGCCAGGAAAGGGTGCTGGAGCGGTCAGCGAAGGGGCGGCGGATGCAAAACCCAGCGCCCGGGAGCCGAGGAGCGCCCGGCAAAAAGGAAAAGTCGCCTCGGAATCCGCGGGACTGACTTCCCAAGGGGCGGGCTGAGCGCGGGCCCCGCCCCTCGCCGCCCACGGCGCCCTTCGTG